ACGTCAAATATTAACGGAGATGTTGTTAATAAAAAACACGGCGTCTTTCGCGTGTGCGGTGCGGCTCATCCACACCTTTTGGTTTCATTCATCCATGTTTTAAGTCGAGAAACCAGTGCAAATATATGTTTAATTAATTGATGAAACCGAGGTGGAAGAAACCATGGTAAGCACAACCGTGGTGGATGATGTCATATATACGCTGTGTTTTTCGATTAGAGACAGCTCAGTTAGTATCTGACGTAGAAACTTGGAGTTTGGACAGATTTTATAATTTTTCGCTGATCTTGCAGCATTAACAGCCATAACGCACTGGAAAATTTGCACGCAAATATTTTATTACTTCCTCTAAAAGTGCTTAAAGAGTTGATTTTATAGTATTTTTTATAATTATTTTCTGATATGGGAAAATGTATGAAAATAGATTTAAGGTTGAGAAAATGCACCGCCTAGTGACGTCATCTGGCGGCATTTCCCATTTAATCACACGTATTTTAGCAGATTAGATCATTTTGTCATATCCTCTCCAAAAATTGTTCAATTCATGAACCAAGGGTATCCTCGTGTTCAGTTTACTCAGTAGTTTCCACTTAAACACGAAATTCATCAAATTTCAAACACTTGAAAATTCTCTATTCTTCGATGAGTTCAACTGACCCACTCTGTAGGACACAAGAGAGAGGTTTTTTCGGCAGGGGGGGGGGGGAGAGAGTGGGTTCTCAAAATCCGATTATTCGACCCAACCCGATCAATCTAACCAACAAATCTCTCAACTGAAAACGATTACGTGGACTGAGGTCTCTTTTTCCTCGGATGGTCATGAATATAATAAAAAAACTAGCGTTAAGAGTTAGACGAGTTGATCTTTTGCGCAGCTTGGTGCTTTAAAAAAGTACACATGGCAACGATGACGTTGAACTGATGAGCGAGTGCCCACTGCCTAACACCCGTAATTCGATCAATTAACCACAATGTTGATGTCGTCCTTGAAGCCAATCATATTGTTTTAAATACTCCATTCATTCTTACTTACCGACTGCTCGTGTTATTTGCATGGTAAGTAGCTAACAGCATTTATCCCCCAAGTCGTTGTTGTCCTAACCACAGCAAATCAAAACGAGAATCTCCACTAGGGAGAGATCAGTCAGTGCAAGAAAGAAGTTTTGAGAAAACGAACAAGTAGTAGCGTCTAAGCTGAACATTTTATCGGACGAAACCCCCGTTCTCCGTAAAATTGTGAATAATTATACTTACTGGAGGCTTTGCAAAATCGTTCGGACAATAATTAATTGACGATGGACGAATGTTATTTGGAATATTAAAAAAATCCCCCTTCATCTCATTTTAGGCAACGCAACAGCACTACTAACGATGCTCTGCACTTCTACATGCTTGAGAGATTACGAGTTGGACACATATACTAAACATTTTAAAATTGAAAATTGGCAGCATATTTAATCGAGAAACCAGTACGTAGAGTTCTTTCGCGGAATAATGTGGACTTATTGCCGATTTCTCTGAAATGACGTCAATTTTTGTACACTCACTGCTTTCTCTTGAATCTTACGTGTGCAGTCAATTTTTTTCTGTTTGAACTAAAATCGTCAATTTATTTCAAGCCTTATTAATATTTTGCTCTCCATTCGCGAGGTCCAATAGACTATGATGGACGGAGCTCTTGAAACACCCGCACCAAAGACATACGGAAACAAACACAGCCTGTAAATAGAGGAAGGGAAAGGATGCGCGCTGACGACGGCGTAAGGATACCACTATTCGTGCTTGATGGATGTCCGTGATGCATCTGAAAAATTGAGGGCGCGATGGCGCGAGGCGTGAACTCGCAATGCTGCGCCCTATGCTACCGGCACCGGTGAGGTGTCGCTCAGATTCGGAGGAAAACTTAAAAAACGAGGCCCAAATATGTCTCTCCTATCTTTGGCCATGTTGACACTTGATTTTTTCTTTTTTTCAACGTGATGTTTAATTCTTCTTTCACGATGTGTTCGTTAACCGATGTATGAGGATCGTATTTACACATCGTTTAGAGCACGTGTTTTGAGCAAACATCGGGTCAATTTGACCCGACTTGGGCATCTGAGGATTAAATAAATGCGATAGAATCGATTTCTATCGATTCCAGGCGAGGAAGGCTGCTTCAACGAGAATCGATTATCTAAAGGATTTGAAGTGTATCGATAGACTTACATCGTCGAAACTTACTGCTGTTTACTCTCAAAGAATTGGCCACTAGATCAGTGGCGTGACGTGAATTGCGATGTATCGATTGTTAAACCATTTATACCTATGATAAAGAATCGATTATTACGGTGTTCGCTGCGAGCACCCTGTTTATCGATCCTTTTCCATAGGTAAATGGCATAACAATCGATATATCGCAATTCACGCCACGCCACTGGACTAGATCTCCTGAGGACGACAGCTATGCGGCCAGACGGTCTAGTAACCACCACCGTCCTATTTTTATTCGTGCGATGTGTGAGTGCACGGCCTGAGCATTAATGCATGAATCGAAGGGAGTGCAACACGAAAACGAACCCATCACACACGGTGCGGGTTGTAGGTAAACATTGCGACGAACTTTGTCGCCGTCAGCGTCGGCACTTGCACGGTCACCGATGTAACTCGAAAATAATTGGAATTAATTAATAGAGAGCGGTTAATTATAATTCAAGTTGTGTTGAGTTAACGAGCCAAATTGAGTATAAGTCTCCTGGCGCGGGGGAGGGGGGGTGACAGTGTGAATGGTGAATGGTGAATACACTAATTTATCCATTTAATAACTGACGAAGATTTAATCGAACGCAATTAAGGCCATTGGGCTTCGCGCGCCCACCCCCCTCTCCCACTTCTCTCCCTCGAGCGGGTTCATCCCCCAAACACCAGAGGCGTATCGAGCTATACGATGGTTCGATTGATCCGCTATTTAAACCCGGGGGAAAGAATCGATTATCAACAAGCACCTTGACAATCGATTCTTCGCCAAAGCTTTAAATGGGTAAATATCGATATTCGATAGTCTATGATTCACGCCTCGTCATACTGCCGCCGCCTGCACTCCTCGCCTCGCGCTATAACAATATCTGGCGGAGGCTTAAAACCTCACTCGCTGTGCATCCTTTGAGCGCGATCCAAGCTTTGGAAATTAGTTTAGACTAATTTGTGTCTGCGGGGCAGTGGTTCTCAGCTGTTTCCCGATAACGTGATTCTCGGTCCACAACTTTGAGATATCGATAGCGTGCCTCATCGTTGCCAGCTTTGCCCCGTTGCAGAAAAGCACTATGTGATCGAAGAATAGGCTTTCAGGAAAAAATTCGACTCAAGCGTCGCCTTGCCTCAATTATTTTTACATGTTCATCCTCGTTTTTCGCAATTGCACATTTTAATGTGTATTACGTTGGCAAAATATTGTTCCTCCACGAACCAATCCTCTATCCGAAACCACGTACGGTAAAAAACCGTTTTCCCTCTGCATACTCTGCCCATTCTTAGTGGGGTAGAGCTTGATAAGAAGTTGTCGAAACAACAAAAATTGACAAAATATTCCGGCTCGGTACAAATTAAATTGGTTTAGAGCTATTTTATTTTTTATGGACCTACAATATATCCAGTTGGGCGTTGATGTTAATGGAGCGAATATTAAATTTGACACAACCAGACCTACTTTGAGATCCAGTCACTGAATTCAAGTTAATCATGTGACATATCAATAGCTGCAGCCGAAAACTGTAGATAATTTTAAAAAAAACTGCAGGTGAATTTTTTTAAGAGAATAAAACATAGGCAGAGATTTGCGCACTCGGAGGTACACATTCTTCAACTTCAGCGATCTAGATGACCTTAAAGACCCTGTACAGCAAAATACTCTTATTCAGCTTGCATTTAAAATTGAGTCATTGACACTGGGACAAAGAGTTATCCTACGAGAAATTCCGAATAAAAACGCCTAGAAATGTCTTAAAAAGAGAATTATTGCAGTTTGAAAATTCCAGCTCCATAAACATAAAACTTATTTCTCAATTAAAAAAGACTCAGTAGTAAAAGTAGTGGGCTAGGATGTCAGTGATAGTGGCCGTAATAGAGGTAGATTTCAGCGAGGCTAAGCTGGTGCATGATAGTAGGAGACGTAGTGATGGTGGTAAAAGTAGTGGCAGTAGTAGAAGTAGTAGTAGTAGTGGTGGTAGTTAAAGTAGTAGTAATAATAGCAGTAGTTTTAGTTTTAGTGGTGGTAGTGGTAGCAGTAGAAAAAGTAGTAGTAGTAGTATTAGTAGTAGTATTAATAGTAGTAGTGGTAGTAGTAGTAGCGGTAGTAGTAGTCGTAGTAGCAGTAGTAGTAGTGTTTGTTGTAGTAGCAGTCGTGGAGATAGTAGAGGTAAAGGCCAGAGTATTACATAGCAGTTGAAGTCAGAATACCGACCAAAATACGACTTATTTCCTGATCCATCGAAAAAATTATGATATATTATGATCACTTACGTAACACTTACCATGGAACTACTTCTTTCCCAGCGATTAGGTACTCTCGAATGCATATTGCATAACGCGCAACTTGGGCTGCATCTTTAAATCTGGAGGAACAAAACCCAGCGATGGATTCGACGCTGGTTTTTCCCCTTCTCCTTTTTCAGATGACTCCATTAATAACACATTGCTCAGCGGTTTATGCATGATGAGCCATGCTATGGCCGCAGGCTGGAGCTTTTGTTGGAGTTTTGAGGCGCCGCGGCGCGGCGCGCGGCTGCGTAGCGCTCGGATATCCGGTTTCGCGTGCGTCTCGATGCACCACCGTGAATTATGTGCGGGAAGCGCCACCGGCGCTGTTGCGATTCGCGCGGAAAAAGCAATACAAACTCAAGCGAGATGCGCACACCATTTGGTAGCTTGCAACTTGTTCGCTCGTAAAAAAGCAATATTGCCCGGAAAACGGAGGGCTCATAAAAGACTAATGTACATTTTGTTTCGCTTTATTTTGTTGGCAGATTCTGGAGAGGAAAGGGATGTTCTGTTACCACTGCCCGCCATCCTTGCACCCCTCGAGCGCGCCGAGACTGCCCTCTTTGGAATACCCGTTCACACCATCGCATCCTTGTAAGTTCCTGCAATCTTTATTCCTTTCTATTCCGGTAGCTTGGAGGAGTGCGCTACCTGGCAAGGCTACATTTTGCGATACAGAGCTACTTTTTCTAGCTCATTTTTGATACAACATGTATGCTATCAGTTTATCCATACACATTAGGTTTTCTATGGATGAATAAGAAATAAATACAAGTTGTTTTTTCCCCCATCAAAATTCAGTCTATTTAAAGCCAAAGATTTTGTCCAAACGAGCGCTGTTGGGGCAGTGGGGCACGCATAAAAATTATCACGACGAAGACAGCTAGTCACTCTCTAAAATGAATTACTGTCAGTTTGACATTAGTTACTACGCGTATAGTAGGGTTCACATAGTAGTTACTGACTCCTCCAAACTGAGGTTTCCACACGTTTACTCTGTAGATGATTATTTCTTGATCAAATCGATGTCGATTGGTTCACATTTATCTGCTTTAATGGATTCCTGTCAATCTCTTATTACATTGATTTCACTTTCAATACTTTTCTTTTTCCTTTCTTCCTATTCTTCCTCCTTTCTTTTTCCGCCTTTTTTCTTCTTTTTCTTTCAATTTTCGTCTGTCTCTTCTTCTTTCTATTTCGTTTTCTTCGTTCTTTTTCTCTCGCTTTTATCCTCTTCTCCTCGGACGGGAAATAACAAAAAACAGGTCAACAGAAAACTGCGTACACGGAAAAAAATAGGGTAGTCGACACAACCAGCGGCCAGTTAAAAATGCGCTAGCTACCGTGCGGTAGTTACGAAAACTACCGCGGTGGAGGTCACAACTAACCCGGTAGNAGTTACATCCGGTTGTTGATGTAACTACCAAGTTAGTTGTGACCTCCACCGCGGTAGTTATCGTAACTACCGCACGGTAGCTGGCGCATTTTTAACTAGCCGCTGGTTGTGTCGACTATACCCTATTTTTTTCCGTGTATAGGGAGCACTAATACTAATGACCGTTCATTAGTAAACGATAAATGCGCTTGAACCTAAAGTCTAACTCAACCTTTATTCAAACGCAAGGCAGATCATTAAAAAATTAAAATAAATTGACGCAATTCCAACAAAAGTTATCGTGTCTCCAACAAATTCGCCTACAGAAGTGGGCCGTTTATTATAAGGGAGGTGATACCACTATTGGACCACGCGGGATCTTAGGTTGCCTATTCTAAAAATTGAAGGCAAAAAAACATGACGTTTAAGTAACCTCAAAGTTTGTGATGCCTGGACTGGAATGAAGCAGTGATTTTTAGAGTAGAAAAAGAAAAGGTTACAACTGAAGAAGGTAAAACTCTCTAAGAAATGGGAATTTGTATGGAACAACATGAAATCGATGGCTGACTCGGTGGTTGTACCACGCATCCAGACTGCAATTTTTAAAAAATTTCCCGCGTACTTTACATTTTAAGAGGAAAACATATTAACTCAATAACTTGCAATTTTCTCTGATCCGTCCTCCCCATTCCACGGTTATCCTTACAAACGGCCGAACAATGATGTTCGTTTTCCTTTTGAAAAGGAAAGTATGGAAAATCTGAAACGCTGTGTCTGAGGTACGTGGTTTTGGAGGTTAACTAAACCAAAATAAGAGGTTGAAAGTGTTGCGCTATTGGCATGATGGGAAGATCAACACATCAGCAAAAAATGAAATTAAGCTAATAACATTGTTCAAAACAGAAAAAATTCGTGACATTGAGCACGAAAAAATCTCTGATTCGTGTCCTTCTAAGCTGTCGGGAAAAATAGAACTTTAAGTGTTCTTTTTTAAAGTCGTGGCGTCGTTTACAATGTTATTAGTCTGAGCGCTCTTATGTCTGTCATGAGTCGTGCACCAGGAAAACTGTAAAAAAGAAATAACGTTTTCTGCTCGTTGATAACTGTTATGAGAACTCATTTTCTTTACATTTTTTTGAGTGCGTCTGATTAGGGAACGTTTTTCTTCAACGAATACTCTGTGCATTATTTTCACTTACAGAGCCTTTTTGCAACAAGTTTTTCACATACCGATTGCATCCATGAAGAAGTTTTCCTTTGTGTGGTTTCTCTTTTTGATTTTTTTTCGGACTGTGAGAGGGTTTAATATTGTTCTGTACAATGAGCGTGGTGGATCAAAGCCCTTTCGAGGTACGATGTGTTATATGCTGCCCGATGACTGGAAATCAAAAGCAGTTTCTGTTGATGCAAAAGCTTGCACCAAGGTATTCTCGCAAGCCCATTGTGGTGGAAATGGTACGCCACTGAGAGGAAAAGAACCTTTAAAAAGTAGTCTTAGAAAAGCCATCATTTCCCTCGATGACTGTTGATGTTGTGTGTTAGTTATTTTCATGAACATATGTTTAAATGATTTTATTTCTGTAAACATGTTTCATCGTTGTTTCTAATTTTCGTGCCTTATTAAATATTACCTCTCGGTTTAGATGTAAAACTAACTGTTACGATATTGCCATGATAATAAATCATAAAAAATTTACGATAAATACCGATTTCTTACTGTTGTTCGGTGTATCTTTTTCTGTGATTAAGAACAATTTTAACAATATATTATAAAGCTTTAAAGTGAGATTTTAATAATTTGAATAATAATTGTAAAGTTTAGCCACATTTTGATTGCCTAATAATCCGTAATTGTCTCTAGAGGCACAACTGTACCATAAAAGCAACAAGTCATATTCAATACTTGTTCATGAAGATCTCTCGATAAATTTAAGCTAAGTTCCTGAGAGTAGCTAAAACGTACTTTCACCGATATGGATTTATTCCGGTTGGAACGCGATTCCTCCAGGACTTTATGTTCACCTACCTTTCGTCCATTAAATAAATGTCCACCGCTATTTATGTTCACTAAACGTTGAGTCCAGTCTTTATTAAGTTCACATGATTTAATGTCCAACCATGAATATGTCCAAAATTGTCCAAATTGTGGACATGTTATGTCCACATTTTTTTCTTCTCATTTGAATGGCAGGAACCACCTCAAAAAAAATGCAAACTACTACTAGTTAGTTAGTTAGTATATTTTAAGACTTTCAACGTCACAGGCTATTAACGTCTTTACAGAGAATTTTGAAAATGGGAGTATATACGAAAATTTAGATTTTTTAATTATGAGAGGTGAAGAGTTCCTTCATTCTTAAAAACATTTCATTCATAAATCAAGTCATGAAAGAGAACAGACTCTAAAAGCAGATAAAAACATATGTTCATGTGTGCACTGTACGGATATGATAAGATGAAAACCAAAGCGGGAGCCTAGAAAACGCTTCAATGCCTAATTAAACATTTTTCAGTAACAGATGCAGTCAACATTGAAAGTCTTCTTTAACTAGTTATTTCGTTCGCCTTCAATCTTGTAGGATACTGTGCAACGCCTCTGACGCGAAATGGTTGCTTAAAACGTTGCGGCGCGGCAGGCAACCAGCGTGACACGCGCATAGGCGCCTACAAACCTAACGGGATACTTCACGCGTTGCGCAATGCGTGAAGTATCCCGTTAGGTTTGTAGGCGCCAGTGCGCGTTCTGCGCTGCTAACACGCCGCTCCGCTCTGTGTTAGGCTCTAATATTTTAGGTCGCGGAGTCAGCGTTTTTCAACCCATGATTTTGAAATGTTTGCACTCTCTGCATTGATTATTCCCTTTCAAACTGATAGGGAATTTGTAACTAATGTACAAGAATCAAACATCAAAACACGATTCTGTTACCAGCGCAACTGGCCCATTGTGGTTTTGATTTCTGCACGAGTTATTTTATAGCCACTGTAGCCCCGTTGGGTGAGAAAACTGTTGCGAAAGCAGAGTTTTGTAATGGCGTCCAGGCTGAGTCCAGGTGCTTTTGAACGGAGATGCTGCATGTGTGAGGAATTTGCGATTTGACTATTGATTTGTATGTAAAAGTTCGTGAGAAACACAATGGTGCCACCGGTTTTCTCTGAAATCAACTCCCAAACTCATAAAAAGCTCTCAAGTTGAGTTCAAAATGGAGGGGATATCCCACGCTATCCTGAGAGTCTCCGTCTACATCAAGACAAACTCTCCATGCGATGATAGGGAGCAAATACATCAGCAGGGTTGCCATGTTTTCAGTCTTAGAGTCCCCAAATAAAGTGGCAGCCCTGCCGACGTATTTGCTCCCTATCTTTGCCTGGAGAGTTTGTCTTGATGTAAAGGTGGACTCTCAGGATAGCGTGTGATATTCGCCCATTTTGGCCTCAACTTGAGAGCTTTTTATGAGCTTGGGAGTTGATTTCAGAGAAAACCAGTGGCACCATCGTGTTTCTCACGAACTTTTACATAAGAGACAATAGTCAAATTGCAAATTCCTCACACATGCAACATCTCCATTCCTACTTTCGACACAGGGTGAAAATTCGGGAGACACGACAACGGTGCGGTATCGAGTCAGGTAGACAAATCGCAAAGATCGAAGGCAGGGATGAACCGAGCGACAGCACGCTACGAGCTTGACTTGTGAAAGTCTGTGCGTAACACAATAATAATTATCGTTGAGGGGACCCGGCTTGGAAGCCCTTCCCTCCCTCCCTCCCTCCCTCCCTCCCGCGCGGGATCCACGGAGCAGTCACCATGTGAATGAAGCTGGGCCTCGCTCCTTGCAACGTCCTGGATCCTCCAGGGACCTCTCCCCCTCGCCACCCCCTCCCCCGATCGGGCATCCCAGCAGCGGAGTTCGCAGGAAACTCGTTATTAGATTATTAGTATGAAGATTATTATCAGCTGTATTAACAAATTACAGGACTCCGACACAGGAGAGAAGCCTCGACAAATTGATTAATCATACACTATCTCTCGCTCCTACTACAGCTCTGCCCCCTTCCCCCCGCCTTTGCAGCTTCCTCCCTCGCCTGGTGACAGTGACCTTAAAAGCTCAAACTTTTTTCTTCACTTCTGCCGACTGACCGCCCCTCCTGCCAGCTTGTTCCGACCCTGCTCATGTTGCTCACTCTTCTAACCTTATATCCTTTGATTTGACTGCAATTC